TGTAATATCGTAACTATCTGAAATAAAGCTCATGCCAATGGCCTAAGTGGTCACCTTTAATATTAAAAAAAAAAAAATAACTATACTAATATAATATTAATACTCTATAAAATAATACAGTAAATGAAATATTTTAAACTACATTATCCTGTGTTACAACCTACTTTGTAATAGTGTTAATAGTTAAATAAAGTTTTTTTATATTTGGGTTTTAACAAGGCTATCAAAGAACTAAAAAAAAAATAAAAAATTATAACTTTTATTAAAGAATTATTAAATGCTAAAAAATATAAGTTTTATATCTAAAATTATTTTTTCTATTTACTTTATTAAGTAAATTAAAGAAAAATATTTTTTTTGCCAAATTTTATATATAAATTTGAATGAGTTAACTTATTTAATTTATATTTAACAATATTTTGAATCTTTGTAGAAAAACATGTTTCATGCTTGTTATAATCTGTATAAGGCTTAAAAATTATATAACAAATACAATATTTGTATATTTTTTCTATAAAACTTTGCCTTAATATATTGGTTTTTTTATCAATTTTAAATATACTTTTAATCAAAGACTAGTTACCAAAACCACTAATAATTAGGAATGACATCTAGACAATTACTCTATTCGCACTGCTCTTACTGTCTATATTACAGAAATGAATAGAAAAAATACCAAGCCTATTCTGGAAGATAACCCTAATATAACCCCTGTTAAATGTTTTGTAGATTTATGAGACCATACTTATCTAGCTATTATTGATAGCAGCTCTGTCAGTATAATCGCTCACAAAGTAGTAAAAAAGCTAGGGTTAGTTATATTTAAATAGAGAAAAGATTTTATTAAATAATAGAATAGGATACAGTAATCCTGTGGCTAAGTAAACAGTATGTAATACAAGAGAGCCTGCATAGTGCTTCTAAAGTACCTCTACACAGTGCCTCCAAAGTACTTTTGCACAGTGCCTCCAAAGTACCTTTGTATAGTGCCTTCAAAGTACCTCTGCATAGTGCCTCCAAAGTACTTTCATACAGTACCTCTAAAGTACCTTCACATAGTGCCTCTAAAGTACCTCTATATAGTACCTTTGCATAGTGCCTCTATAGCACCTCTACACAGTGCCTCCAGAGTGCCTCCACTCTATTAGACAATTATACTGTTACACTTCTATCTGTAAAAAAGTTATAAAAAAGAAGCCTTGTTCCTTTTTATCCAGCTTAGAGTTTTCTACTCTCTTATAAAATCTAGTCTTATCCTTTTACCCTTCTCTACTTGTAAAGTGTGATATTCCCCCTTTAGAGTAATTTCTACAGGCAAGGTTATCACTGTACTTGTTATTAATAAATATTATTATCTATAAACTATTATTATCTCGAATATAGATGCCACCAAAATTGATTTTCAAAAAAGGCTTATTTCGTCTCCATTAGAGCAAATTAAAATTTTTTATAAAAAAGAGCAAATAAAATTTATATATTTATACTCCTTATAATTTCGTCTATTCAAAAAAAGTGTTAAAAAATTTCATCTTTTAAGTAAAATAAGTTAAAGACAACTCCATCTTCAATTTTAATTTCAGGTTTTAGACCCTGAAATAATTTCGTTAACATGTATAATCTCGAACCATTTGTCTTCTGCTATGAAGTTAAAGTATACACTTTATATCCACTCTGTGTATATTTATAAAGTATATCACTATACCAGGTGACCTTGTTACTTTGCTATAATTATACCAAAAAGGCTATAGTATTGTAATATTTTGGTGCCTTCTGGCAGAAACCCAAACCAAAACCTCTATTTCTCTTCACCTAGGACAACCTTCTTCTTTCTAACCACTTTTTTAAGAACACCAACCTTTTTTCTTATTATCTTTTAATAGATCTTCTAGCAGTATAGTATAAAATCATAGAAGATTTTATCAAAGCTTTCTAGGAATTATCTCTCTTGAATTATTTCTTAAGTTACAACTACTCTTTGAAATTATTGCAGGATTGGCTATTTTATTTTATTTTGAAAAAGCAATTTGAAATTTTGAAATTATTAAAGATATAAAATTATTTGAATTATTATAAGCCGGGAGAGTTTATGCTTTATCTCTTGCAAGTCAGTCACTAGCATAGTAAAATTTGGAATATTATTATTATTTGAATTAAATTGAATTGAATTTTAAATTATTATTTGACGTTACTACTTGTTTCAATTAATTTTTTCTTTCACGCGCATATTATTTTTTTACTCTACTTCTTATTTGATTTTCTATTATTTTATTTTATATTATTTTTTTATTCTTTGCAAACTAACATTATCTCTGGAAGATAATTTTTTCTTATGACTGATTCACTAACTAATCTTCATCAAACTAATATCAAAAAACATTAAGTTGAATATACTCGCTTTACAGCCACTGTTGTTGAAGTATATCAGGCTTTCTATCAAGATTTGTCTTGTACACAGTGTTTCCTCTTGATGGTTAACTACTCTTACTGACTTTAGTGAATTTTGAAACTGGTATTCTAGAGCTTGTAATGCCACCTCTTATAGTTTAATTACTTAACAAAGCTTTAGTAAACTACATATAGTTAAATAAGATCTTGCTTGCTCTGCCGCATGTGATATTATTTTTAGTTGCAGATACCACGATCAAGTACCTGCTTTTTGTTCTGTAATTGCACTATTATTTCGATGCTTTACTTTTTATATAAATATCTCCCAAATTGAAGATTTAGCTCAAAATCAATATGATATTTATATTAATCACCCCCAATTTAGACTTTCACCTATCTAACATATCTAGTACTCTGAAGAGTTAGGATCAACTTCTCAACAAATAGAACATAGTAACTGCTCTATTCACGTTATCGCCTATTCTCCTGACACTACTATAGTTTTTAAATCTGATACTGAGTTAGAACGATGCCTTTCTCAACATTCTATGATATCTGAAGAAACAACTGATATTTAATTTCCTGTCTTAGCTATTGAGACCTCCTTTTCTTCAAATAGTACTGAACCTCTTACAACTGATTTTTATACTCCTACTCTTAGTCCTATAGTTTTTTTTAGTAATATATTTGACCAAGAGTCAAATACTAATAGTATTGATGAATTAGTACTCAATCAAACTGCCCCTGTTGAAATGGAAAACTTAGAACAAATTAACTCTTCTATTCCTAAAACCACTATCACTAGGGAGCCAGAAAATCAAGCCAATAATAACAATAATCAAGGTAATTATACCCATATATATCTAATTATAAATGATACTCTTATTCATAATTATTGGAAAGTATAAAAAGTACCACTATTTGAAGACAACTTTACTAATAATAATAACCAAGAAGAAGAAGAAAAACTAACTGCAGAAGAAGAAGCTGAGCTAGAAGAAGAAATCCAAGAACCAGAATTACCCAATGAAGCTGAGATAAACAAAGCTGCTAAAGCTATGACTAGGCTTGCTGAAGCTTTAGAATGAGAAAAAAGAGGAGAAAAGAACCTCATCAAAATTAAACCTTTCACTAGTGATGGAACTCAAGATCCTCATGACTGGCTAGATGAATTTGAATAAGCTGCAAAAGCAAACCACTGGAGTAATGAATGACAATTAGAATTGGCCAAAGCCTATATAAAAAGAATTGCTGATGAATGGGTTTGAACATTCTGAGATACATAATTGACTTATTACTATGATCGAGCTTATGTTTCTAATAGTTTTAAAACACGATTTATAGCTAAATTCTGTACCACTTGCCAAAAAGCTAAATGGCAACAACAGTTTTTTGACCTCAAACAAGGAAATGATACTGTTGATATATATATTGCTAAATTTAAGAATCTCCAATGCCAAGTTATAGCACTACCATCTGAATTTCTCTGCCAACATTTTATTCAAGGACTATAATCTGAATTCACTATGCTCGTACAAGCCTCCGGTCTACGAGGCCTTGATAAGATTATAAATTCAGCAAGAAACTAGGAAGCAGGAAAACATATCGCTACTCCAGACACAGAAACCAATGAAGCAATTGTCCAACTCACCAATCAAATTGTTCAACTTAGTATTAATCTAGCTCAACAACAACAACCGAAGCTAGCCTATATTGCTAAAACTAAACGAGACTCTTCTAAAGCAAATAGCACTTGTTATTATTGTGGCAAGAAAGAACATTATGCTGCTAATTGCTACCAAAGGAAAAATGAAGAAGATAGAAACAATAGAAGAGGAAAACCTAACAATTTCAACAATAATAATCGAAGAAATAACTATGGCAACAATAGAAGAAGCAATTATAATGATAATAAAAGAAATAAACATAATAATAGACATGACAGAAACAAAAATAGAAGTCAATCATGAGATAAATACAGAAGTAGAAGCCAAGACAGAAACTACTCTTGTGATAAAAGCAGATCTAGGGACAGAAGTCAAGAAAGATGGAGACTCAGATCTAACTGTTTACCTTTACCTTATTACTAGAATATAAACATGGTTGAGAAATCTAATCCAAATACCAAAACCACTAATAATTAGGAATGACATCTAGACAATTACTCTATTCGCACTGCTCTTACTGTCTATATTACAGAAATGAATAGAAAAAATACCAAGCCTATTCTGGAAGATAACCCTAATATAACCCCTGTTAAATGTTTTGTAGATTTATGAGACCATACTTATCTAGCTATTATTGATAGCAGCTCTGTCAGTATAATCGCTCACAAAGTAGTAAAAAAGCTAGGGTTAAAAATTAATAAACTATCTAACAGTTTAATCATTAATATTACAAGAACCACTTCATGACCTCTTGGTGTTATTAGAGATTTACCTATTAAGATTTAAGAAAGAACTATCTCAATTGATATTGAAGTAGTCCCGGTTACCTTTTATTCACTTCTCTTAGAAAACAACTAGTTGCAGAAAGTTGAAGCTAATTACAATTAGAAGACTTGCCAATACACTATGCACTAGAATAAAAAGAAACTTACTCTTGATATCTTATATAAGCAAAAACAATCTAAAAAAAAACAGCCTACCTGTATTACTCCAGAAGACTTTGAACTATATAAACAGGAATATTTAATACCTCACAAGACCTATGCCTTTTTAGCAACAAATCAAGAAGAAGAAGGATAGACCACTTATATATCTTGCCGTAAATATACCCCTACATGTAAAATTTGTAGTCTTCAAGGCCACCAATATAAAAATTGCCCTCAAAATAAATGCTGATATTGCCACCAGAAAGGCCATATTATTATCAACTACCCTAACAAACAACTTAAAAAAGCCAATTGCAAGACTTGCAACCAAACCAACCGCCTATTCAAAGATTACTCCCAAAACTTATGTTTTGGTTGTAACCAGATAGGACATATAGAAATCAACTGCCTATTAGCTCAACAGAAATTAGACAACTTAACTCTTTATTGTGGTTGTGACAAAGCCCAAATAGAAGCCAGAAGACTTACCCACTATAGCAAACATAAAACTCACTATTGCTGTCAATGCTTGACCTTTCAAGTACTAGATGGATTATATCAACTAAATAACCAGCTTGTTTGTACTACTTGCTACAAGACCTATTATGAAAGTCTAGAATTGGATAACTTTCGAAGTCAAGAATACTATCAAACAGAACTAGGAAGAGAAACTCTTGTCTACTATAAAGTCTGTAACTACTAGAAACCTAGAGCCAGAATACACAGAATAGAAAGTATTTGAGAAGAACTTTGGTTTTGTAAATTAAAACACATGTATGCTTATAAAGTATACCAAGATTTAATTTATAACTCAAACTATGAAATTTAGACAAGAATCAAATATTATACCGAATCTACTCATAATGCTGAATACTAATATAATCTGAATTAAAGTAGAATTTATAGACTAGCACAAGCTTTATTGGAAGAAAAAACTAGCCAGATCACTAAACTATTGATAGAACAAGATGGTGATATATATAATCAAGATTGAACCTCTGATAAAATTACTGTTCTTTTTAGGACAGGTTAAAAACAAGTAATCTTAACCAAAGATAAAGAAACAACTTTATGAAGAATTTTGCAAGAATCTTTTGATATATCTCAATCTAACTTTGATACCTAAAAAGCTATAAAAAACCTACATAACAACTTTAATAACAAAGTAGCTCTATGTTTAGAACGTCTACTTGCTAAACAAACTACTGAGTTAAATCAGAATCAAGAATATTGTAATAAGTATTATCAGAAGTTAAACACTCCCTCAAAAAAGAAAGAGCCTAAACCATCTACTTCTATGATGCCTATAATACCAGATGAAGAACTAGGACTATTGATTAACAGAGATAAAGGAAAAAGAAAAAAAGAAAATTTAAAACCTAACAAAAAATCATTGAACATTTAGAAGTCTTTAAAGAACAAATTTTATACCACCAAGAACGAGCTAAATATTACTCTAAGTTATATTCATAACGAAATTTTTAAACTATTCTAGGCATGATGAAAAACTACCTAAAAACTCAGAAGAATTACCAACAGAAGAACAAGCTTTGCAACTAGCTCTGCAAAGAAATATACTTAATTATAATTATGTATATACTATAGACACTTTAATCCCATATGAAGAATATATATTAGAAAAGACAGACATAGTTAATATTGGACCCCTAACCCAAAAACAAAGAAAGAAATTTAAAGCCTTGTTAGAAGAATTTGCAGATTTATTTGCAAAAAATATTTTAGAACTAAGATGAACCAACCTAGTGCAACACAGAATCTATACAGAAGATGTATTCCCAATTAAATTTCAAGCTTACAACATACCTCCTGATGAGCAGGACTTCATAAAGGAAGAAATTAAAAGAATGATAGAAAGTAGAATTATTTAACTAGCAGAAAGCTCTTGGGTCTTACCTGTTGTTTTTGTACATAAAAAGAATAGCAAACTAAGATTTTGTGTAGACTACAGAAAATTTAATAAAATCACTAAAAAAGATACTTACCCTCTGCCCCGAATACAAGAAATGCTAAATACTTTACAGTATCTGGATCAAAATAGTTCTCTACTTTTGATCTTGCTAGCGGATATTGGCAAGTTATGATGGACCCTAAAGATAGAAAAAAGACTAAATTCATTATAAAATATGGCATATATGAGTTTAATATAATGCTCTTTAGACTTTGTAATACCCCTGCAACCTTTCAATGATTAATGGATCAAGTTTATAAAGAAATTGTATGAAATTTGTAGTTGTGTATCTTGATAATACTAACATATTTTCTAGAACATTTGATGAATATTTAGAATATTTGAGAATAGTATTTAAACATATTAGAAATGCAGAATTAAAACTTAATCTAAAAAAGTGTAATTTTTGAATAAAATCACTACTATTCTTAGAACATATTATTAGTAAAAAGAGAATAGCTCCAGACCTAGCAAAAATAGAAACAGTACAGAAGATTCAACCCCAACAAACACTACCAAATTATGATCTTTTCTAGAACTAGTTGGATACTATTGACAATTTATCTAAAACTTTTTATCAATAGCTCAACCACTAAATCAATTATTGTATAAAGATGAACCATATTATTGAGAAAGTAAACAACAATAAGCCTTTAAAATACTGAAAGAAAAACTAGTAACTACACCTGTATTAGCTTACTCAGACTTTAGAAAAAGATTTATACTTGCTACTGATGCCTCATATTATGGATTTGGTGCCACTCTTAGTCAAAAAGATAGGGATGACAAGAAACACCCTATTGCTTATGCAAGTAAAAGCTTACAACCAGCAGAACAGAACTACTTTGCAACTAAATTAGAATGTGCTACTATAGTATGAGCTATAGAACATTTTCATAGTTACTTGGGAGCAACAGAATTTACCCTTGTAATAGATTATTTAGTACTGAAATGGCTTAAAACTGCTAAACCTAAAGGATGAATTGGACGATAGATTTTGAAACTTCAACCTTACA